TTTTTTTATTTTTGTAAATATATAAAGATTATTTTAATCTAAGAATTTAATCTACTTCTAATATCAATTCTATTATATTACAAAAAAACTGTTCCTATATTTGATGCAAATGACCTCTTTCATTGTATCACAATGCAGCTTTTTTAGTGATAAACATCCACACATTGGTTTATTTTAATACAATATAATAGCAAAACTGATGAGACAAAACATTTTGACAGTTGCTGCTTTTTATTGCTTTATATGCTGTTCTTTGCTTGCAGCTACAAGAAACAGGTTTTAAAATATCACACAATGTTCCACCAGCTATGGATGACATCTGTCAGTCACACATTTTCTAATATATGCCGATTTTTGATTTCACCATTGTTAGCATAATGTTTATATGCTTCATTTGGTCATAATGTTTGGGCTAATCATGTATAGTTAGTTTGACAATCTGTCATTTCCAATACCCTGTAATTCCTAGCTAATGGGACCAGTATACATACGTAATGCACATATCATATTTACATATAAGGATAAATTAGAATTTATGATTCAAGATATAATTTGTTCCCTCGAAAAATGAAAAAAAAAACAAAACAAAAAAACAGAGTGACCACAGAAAAAATTCAGTTTATGTAAATGCCCTGCTGTTGTTGTGAGCTGCTGTGGGACCTTCTGCAAGAAGGATTCATATTAATTGATTTGTTCTCAGAAAAAAATGGAGGATGTCTGAAAACCTGGAGACTGTGACTGAAGAAGTTCCAATGGTAATGTATATCATTAGCTAGCCTTCTGTCATGTAGCTTAATTATACAGATGTTTAACTCTTATTAGCTGACAAATTATCCTGCAATGTGTCTGATAGCTGGATGCTGATCAAGCAATAGTATATGATGGGATCCATGAGCGAGAGGCAGCTGAAGGAGAAACTTAGTCATGTGAGAACGCATCGCTGGTGACAATGATGACATTGAACCAAAGACGTGGACAACATTGACAATGACGTCAAAACCAGGAAGGAGAGGAGAAACAGAATATGTTGAAATAAAGACAGAAAAAAGGGACAATGATGATCATGTGTTGTTGCAGCACTTACAAAAAAGAAAAATCATTCAGATATTAGGCTATGTTGTTTAATGCAGTCTAAATAAAACAATAACAGGGTTTCTAATATAGATGTACATCCTGGCAAAGAGGTTTTCATAAAAAACACTCTCATGTGATGGCTTCTTGTAAGTGGCAGTCCTTAGTGGGGATTAGCTAAAGATATCAAGACATGCAATCTTAATCTAATGCTATGCTACTCCACTTCATTTAATACAAGGAAACTTTGAGGTGCCAACTATACTGTGTAAATAATGTAATAAATCTACTTATAAACTCCAACTTCAACAAAAGCATAACCAAAGTGAAACTGTGTGAATCTTTGTTCTTTGTTCGTTCTTGTATGCAAAAAAGCATCTGTACATTTCACATATGTCTGTATCAGGTAAAATCAGTAGCTTCATGTAAGTTTTTGTTTTATCACTTCAATAAAATTCAAATCTAAGTTCAAAGTAAATGTGATCATTATTATGCTTGTAATAGCTGTTGTTCAGTTTTCTTCTATGGCTTAAAATCTTGTGAATTCACAGATAACTGTTATAGTCTACTACTGTGGTAAACTGTGAGAACAGGACATTTAGAAAATCTACTGGAGCTCACATTAGAAATTATTGTGAGTTGTGAGTATTTTACTCACACTGAGCTGCTAAAACAGATCGTGTGTTCCCCCACTTGCCAAATTTCACTTTAACCACTGACTGTTTTTTTCTGTTTTTTGGTGTGGAGGCAAAGCCACCCAACATCATGCAGGCAACAGAAAATGTATATTTTAAATAACAGATTAAGTCTGAGTACATTCATTAGAATTGTAATTAAAATTTAGATTAACTTGTTTTCTCATTTACTAATATTATATTCTGTAATATTACTAATTACAGAATTTCTGTACTCTTGCCTCCTCTGCCTGTGCCCCCGTGAACGAGAACACCTTCACTGTTTTTGTTTTCAAGTTTCAGAAGCTGTCAAGGTCAAGGCTCAGGACTTGCTCCATATTTCGAGTGTTGTTCACCTCTTAAAACTGTTTCCTTTCTCCGTGTTCTGTCCACACTAGTAAACATGCTGTGTGCTTTGAGGCCACAGAAAATTTCAGCTATTTCTTGATTTGGTGCCTCTCAGTCGAGGGATGCCTGTGTTGTGCTGGACACCTGGAAATCCTGCTATTGCAAAAGTCCAGCTCAGTCCTTCAGGCTATTTCTCATCTCCACAAAAACAGAACCCTGGAGAGGTGCTTGCAGTAGTTTTAGTTTCTTTCAGTTTTCTTTTGCAACCTACAGAAAAATTGTGTGAATTTACAGATGACTGTTATAGTGTCTTACTGTGGTAAACTCTGAGAACATGTTTGGCCAGACTGAAACTATACTGATGTCTATTTAGGAAGTACATAAATATATACTTTAGTTCTCGCGAGAACAGTAACTGCAGATTATACTAATTCATACCACAATATACAGATCAAACATGAAACTGCATTTATGTAGAAGTGTTGAGGTTCGTTCGATTTGGGTTAGAGAAGAAAGCAGGCTGAGTCCGGGGTAGGTGTCAAAAATAGTGATCTTTATTTACACACTTTGCGCAGAAGTGTGGGAAGAAAACTTGCAACACATTCTCCGCCAGGCGGAGGCTCTTCATCTTTATATTACCGTGATGACGTCACAGTTAGATCTTTACTGGAAATGATAACAGTTTCCCCACAATCCAAAAGTTCTCCTTATATGGACATCAACTGCTACTTTTAGAGAAAAACAAGTGTGTATTACATTGTGCATTTTGTGATAGTGTATCTATCTGAGAAAGACTGTCCTAAGACGACCTTCCTATTCTTAATAAGTGTGTGTGTAAACGTGCGTGTTTTTACATAACTATGTGCATGTTATTAAAGGCCTGAGTACGTGCAGAACTGAATGTAGACAGGCCAGGGTCCAACAGGACCCACGAATTCGGATGGTTACAAAATATGCAACAGCTTAAGCGGATAGAAAGAATAATACAGAACAACAATAGACTGATTAAAGTGCTGATAATCTGTGTGCATTAATATTTGCTCAGAATAACATAGATGTGATGTCAACTGATTCAACAATGGTAAATGATTAATCTATGATAATTCTGATTATAACTGTGATCATAAGAATACGAAATAAAATATCTCTTGTCCACAAGAAACTTTGTCTTTAAATCTACCAATATTTAAACAGTTTGAAACAATACCTCAACTGCTCACTGCTCTGGACATTCTCCTGAAATCATGTGGACGTGAAGAGAGCGAGTCAGAATGACACAGACATAAGAGAAAACATTTAGCGTCTCATTGCTAAATATGAGGTCAGTCTCTTGATCATTAATATGCAAATTGCCATGACCACCAGTCTGCAGTCAGCTGAGACTAAAGAAGTCACTTGGATGGGTGATGAAACGTTTCTCAGAATCAAATTTGTGGGAGTATTGCTGTAGGTTTTTGACACCTGTAACTGTGACGTTTGCATCAGAAATCAACATATAGACATTCTTCAGCTTACTAACAATAATAACTCGATATGATCTAGAGTCTGACTCATCGAGGTCATTGAAGCTTTTTTTCAGATCTGACTTCAGCACTGACAACCTCCCTTGAAACGTAAATGCTGCTTTCTTAGAGCTTCCATGATGTTTGTGTCAAATGACATCAGAACCATCTTCTGTAATAACAGAACGTGACAAAACAACACAGTCCAGCCTTTGCTGTTATTTATTTAATTTACTTCTTTTTGCATCTTTAACATGTTTCCAGGAAGTTATTCTATACTCTGTCCGCCACTATTTCCTCTTAGACTACAGCCACATTTAGAGCTAAAACCACCATTAATGTGACATTTTAACAGCAATGAAATCAGGGATTATTTTTAGTATCAAGTGTGAAGCTTTGAAATATTTGGGAGATTCAGGGAGTTCTGCATCTATGTTAATGATGTTTTTGGTGCAACTAAATAAAATAATAGCCACATATTTAATTATGATTTGTATTAATATGAAAAGAGAAACTCCCACAGATATTTGAAAGAACTTCTGTCTTTGCTAGAGATGGATTTCAAGTTTGCTGGGTTGCAAAATGTCATTTAGGTGAGTGATGAAATT